GATACATCATCTGATTTCTTTACTGCTGCATTCAAAGCAGTGTTCTGTGGATCAAAGTCAAAGTCTTTGACAGCATCAATCTTTTCTTTGTCATGATGCTTGCAAAAGTCCAGTCATGAGGATTTGTGTTTTCTTTATATTGAGGTGTGATCTATACCTAAGGGTGTAGTCTTTGATCTTCCTCAATAAATACTTCACTTTGCACCTATCGCAGATTGTTGGTGGGTCTTCTTCCAACTCTGATGCCACTTTCTCCTTCATCTAATCCAGATTCTCTATTATTTGCTCAACATGTAGATTAAATAAGTATGTGAAAAGGAGACAAATCTGACATATATATTTCCTGATTTTAAACCATGTGGTATCTTCTTCTTTTGTTTGAAAGGCTGTTTCTTGGTCTGTGTACAAGTTCAACAATAGCATAATTGTTGTTGATATGTGCCATCAAGTCACTTGCAACTCATAGTGATCCTACGTACAACAGCTCTGAATCCTGCTCTATCTTGAGCCAACTTCATTGTCTCTGACACCTATCCCTATGATTCCAGCCCCTGAGTCAATCCATCTCATACAGGGTCGTCTTCTCCTGCGCTGTCCCTTTACTCTTCCAAGCATGATGTCCCTTTGCAAGGACTGGTCCCCCCTTGTAACATGTCCAAAGTATGTGAGATGGAGCTTCAAAATCCTTGCCTCCGAGGAACAGCCTGGTTTCACCTTCTCAAGGACAAACCTGCTTGTTCTCTTGGCAGTCTATGGTATGTTCAATACTCTTCTCCAGCTACTACAATTCAAAGATATCGATTTTTCTTCTATCATTGTCATCCTCAGTCATTGTCCAGCTTTCTGATGCGTAGCAAGTAATTGTGAAGACCATGGCCTGGATTAGGCTCAACCTTAGTCTTCAGACTGAATCCTGCTCTAGTGCTCTGGGGTAATCCTCTCTTTAGTACTCAGGAGAGGTCCCTGACAGCAGAGTTTTCCAATACAACTTGTCTTTTCATTTCCTGGATGCCCAATTAGTATTCTAGAATTCCCATATCCCAATATTAATCCTTAATTTTTATGATCCACACAGTCAAATATTGCATAGTCAGTAAAACATAAGTAAACCCCTTTCAAGCCTCTGCTTTCAGTCAAGATTCATCTGACATAGCAGCAATATCCCTCATTCCACGCCATCATCTAAATCTGGCTTGGATTGCTGACAGTTCCCTACAGCTATTCTTTAATTATCTTCAGCAAGATTTTACATGCAATTGATACTTTTCAATAATCTCTGTCATCTATTGACTCATCTTCTTCGGAATACTCACAAATAGGGATCTCTTCTAGTACGTTGGCCAAATAGCTGGACTTCCAACTTTCTTAGTATAGACCAGTGAGCACCTCCAGGGCTCCAACTTTGTTGAAACACTTCTGTTGCTATTTCATCAACTGAGGCTTGATTTTCACCACTACCTTCACAGACTCACTGTATCAAAAAAGACTTGGTTGGCATTCAGTCATTTCAGAAAGCATATGTTCAAGACTCACTGGCTTCCAGCTTCACTGAAGTTATTGGCAAACAGTGGTTGATGTTTATTAGAAGTTTTGAATAACTTCCCATAAGGTAGAAATGAGTAAATTCTTTGGCTATAAATAAATAGGGAGTTCTTGTGGTCTAGTGGCAAGACGCTGCACAGCAATCCCAAAGGCCTTCTCCCATGCAATTAACTGCCCCTGAAAACCCACCAGAGCGTCACCTATGGATTGGTTCTGACTCTATGGTACACAACAACATAGATAAACAGAACATAGTCTGTTTCTTAGAGGTATAATGTAAAGGTTAGGACTTCACACTGCTGTTCTTTCATTTACTGTGGTTGAGTTAGGAATGCCTCATAGCACGCTGCCCCTCCACATTGGGTGTACCCGGTTGTAAATCACACGAGAGGAGATTTCCTATCCCATTAAATTCCTCCACATAATGTTTTTATTTAATTCCTAATGAACCTTTTGTAGTATGGGTTCTGTGGAGATATTTTTCAGGGCTGTTTGTAGACAGACATTAAGGTGATAAAAAGTATTGGAATTATACAATGTGCAAGGAAGACCCTAATTAAGCACGTAAAATATATTCTAGTCAGACGGTGTAGTAGAAGCAGCTAGGAGTGAGGACTTCTGCTTTTGTCTTTAAACCAGCACTTTCGTGGTGTGAGTAGCCACAAAGACAAAATCTTGGGCATATAAGAAAGAGAACTTCCTTAAGATGCTTCCTTTGAAAGACAGTAAGTAGCTCTACCACCTTAAAATAACCAATGAAATGTCAAAGAAAATAACCATTTTCTCTAAAGCGCTCACTAAAACCAAACCCACTGCGTTGAGTTGATTCTAACTCATGGCAACCCCCAGTGTTGCAGAGCAGACGTGCTCTGGATAATTTTTTTGGCTGCAATCTCCAGAAGCAGATTGCCAGACCTTTCTTCCACAGGGCTCCTGGGTGGGTTCAAACTGCCAAACTTTCATTTACACTACCCAGTCATGGTGTAATTTCCCGTTAACGTCAAGACATAAGAGGTTGACTTTTGCTGCTCTCCAAATCTGATAAATACTCTTAAATGTAAACGTAGGTATCTTTTTGTTTAATAGTCATCATTTTTTTTTCTCATGGTCGTAAATTACCAGCCATCGAGAAACCAAAAGTCATGTTGCACTGGGAAAGCCTGTTATCAAGGTTCTCTCCAAGGCACCAAAGAGTAATGATGTCAGGCTAAGGACTAAGGTGTGCCTGGCCCAAGCCATAGTATTTTCAAATGCTTCCTAGGCATCTAAAAGTTGGATAGTGAATGAAGAACTGAAGAAGAAGAAGTGATGCTTTTGAATTGTGGTATTGGTGAAGAGTGTTAGATATCCCATGGATTGCCAAAGAGCAAACACATTTGTCCTGGCAGAAAGGCAACCAGGGGGTTCCTTAGAGGTAGGGATGGTCTAACTTCATCTCATGTACTTTGGGCATGCTGTCAGGAGGTGCCAATCATTTGAAAAGAACCTTGATGCTGAGGAAAGGAAAAGGTCAGTGAAAGAGAAGGCCTTCAAGATGGATTGGCTCCGTGGGCGTGGACTCAACAGAGATCATGATGATGGCACGGAATAGGCCAGGGTTCAGATTGGTTGCTCATCGGGTTGCTATGAGTTGTAGTGAACAGCACCTACCAACAGCAGCCATTGAAGAGCTCGTGTTCACTGAGAGCCTGCTGTGGGCCCAGTTCTATAAACAATTCCACGTCATAATCCCAGCAGCCTTTTAACCCCAGCCCTGTAAGGTTAGAATGGGTGTTCCCACTTTACAGATCATGAACTGAGTTCCCACGGTGAGTTCCCCAGGAGCTAGCTCCAGGTTGGTTTGGTTCCCAGCCAGTGCTGATGCCACCACTCTGGTAGTCACTAAAGAGAAAGAGCCTCTGAAGTCTGAAGGATCCCCTCTCATCACCCCACCCCTCAGAAGGAGTCAAAAGTGTTTAAACAAGGAGTCTAGACAAGCATTGGGTTAGTGAGGAGAACTTCTGCGGCGCTGTACCAAGGGCACAAGGATCAAAACAGGAAAACAACTTTTCACGGCAACAATTAAACATTGGAGACCATTCAGAGACCACTTTTCTGCCCTTTGGCTATACCCACATCAGACATGTCCTAGTTATTTGTTCTTGTTAGTCAATTCCTCAGTGGAATTTAGCTCAAGGAGGCCACGCACATACAGAGCAGAGATCTCCATGGAGCTACCTAAGCTCTGGCTTCAGAAGTGGATCACCTGGCCCATCTTTCAAGGCACTTCTGGGTGGGTTTGAACCATCAACCTTTTAGTCAAGTAGTCCAGCACATAGCTATGCTACACAGCCACATACTCAGAGCACAAACCACTCGGCTCTATTGCTCCTGCCTAGCCCTCCCCACTATGTCCCTGATGCCTCAAATGCACCAGAAGCTTGGGAACATTGGGAAAGGATGCTCCAAACCCCCAGAACATAGCTTCATCCCTTGGCCACAGCTCAGCTGCAAACACCAGAGGGCAAGAGTGACATTTGCAGACTCTGTCACGTCTTGTACCACCGGGTCAGAGTCTACTGAAGAGGGAAATAGATGAGCTGGGACATTACAGCCTCACCGTGCCCACCATTAAACAGAAAAGCTACATGCTCTGTCCAGGGGGACTGGCGTGACCCGTGAATAATCCCAGAGCCTGAGCAGGACTGTTAATGCTTTTGAAATGACGTCACAACATTGATTCTGAAAGTGTGACATTGGCTCAGAAACCTCATTCCAATAAGGAGATTGTTTCGCTTAGCATGTGGTGAATATCTGTGGCTGGAGGAATTACAACAGCTCCAAAACGCTGGAGAGAGAATGCAGCCTTACAATATGGGTGGTTTCCTCATTACCTTCAGTAATGGTCCCCAGTGACACCTTGAACCCTGGAGCCCCAATCACTGTCACTGGCAGTTGTTTACATGGGATAACGATATGCTAATGACAGGGATACATCTTACTTTTCCCCAAAGAGGAAACATCCATTTTTGCCCTCGCTCTGGACATATAGATCCATTTGCTGCTCCAAGAGGTCTTTGGGGCATGGAATCATGGCCCTTGGGGTTTCCAAACCAAATCCATTGTCGTGAACCAATTCTGACTAGTGGTGACCCCATGTGGTATGGAGTGGAATTGTGCACAGTAGGATTTTGGGGTCTGTAATACTTCTAGAAGTGGATCGGCAGGCCTTTCTTGCATGGCACTGGTGGTGGCTTCTAGTTACCAACCATTGGGTTAGTACTAAGGACCCACCGTTTGTGCCACCCTGGGGCTATGATGGAAGGCAGAGCAACACTTGGTTGACATGAGCCCCTGCTCATGTCCACTTCACCCCAACCTGGATGCTTTTAGATAAGCCTAAGAACTAAACAGGAAAAGCAGAAAAAGACCCATCTCTTTTTTTTCCTCTTGGCTCTTCTTCCCTCCTCCCCTTTTAGGCACAGAATACCAAGACATTGAGACCGAGAAAACCTGCCCCGGGTCACATTCACCTTCAGAAGACTCCTTTGTGAGAAGCTGAGGGCCCAGCCCCCTCCTCTTCCTGCAGAGAAGGTGCCCACCACCACCCACAGACCTCGCTGGCCTGACTTAGCGTGCTCTGCCCTGCCCAAGAACCCAAGGGTCACCCGTGTGGATTATTCGGCCAATGCGTGGTCCTTTGAGGCCCAAGCCCAGGCCTGTGATGAGGACGCGACAGATGACATGTGGGTCGGGCACTCTTCAAAGCAGCCCTCAGCGCAGGCATTGGGATGCTGAAGAACAAGTTTGACCTGATGTGCAGATTTCCTCCTGCCCACCTCTCCTTTGGCTCCTAGGGGGATGGCTTGCTGAAATACCTTAGAAAACCCCACTCTGGGATGCTTCTCTGACCAGAGTTCCAAAGCGCTTCTGAAATCAGCCAAGGATGGGTTCTAAGAGGAGGGGATTCAAATCACCCTTTCCACTGAATGGAAAAAATTTAAAAAGCACATACTCAATAGATTTTTGAGTGTGTTTTTCTGTATCTTTGCAGCTTATATTTTCCAGATGAGCAGTTTAGAAATATGTGATGTAAAGTACATCCTGTACGTTTGCTGAAAATTATATTAAAAGCACTATTTTAATTCTTCGTCTGTCTTATGCCATAATCCCTTCTGCCTTCCTCTTGTGTCATCTGGTAGGACGTCTTAGAAACGCCCTTAGAAGCTTGTTTCTGGTTGTGTGAGTTCTATATGTATGAGCTTTAAGATGTTCAAAACAGTTTGGGCTTTAAATGAGACAGACCTGGGTTCTAATCCTTCCCTTGGCGTTTACTGTCAGTGTGACTTGGATGAAATGATGGGATTCTCTGAGCATCAGTTTCATCATCAGTAGATAGGAATATTCACAACTGCTGTACAGAGTTAAGAGATAAATGAGCTTATATAGGAAGGGGCTGTAAGCAGGGCCTAGCACAGAATGGGTACTCAACCAACTAGTCATTGATACCCCAAACCTGGATGGAAGTAGAGGCCCCTACATATCTGATGATCTCCTTACTTGGATCCACAATCCATACTCTTGGTACCAGCAGTTAGGAAATCCAGGGATTTAGTGCACTGGAAAAATTGTAGAAACCTCTTCAAATTATTGCACAATAATGTTAGTTTGAGGAGTAAGTTGTGTCAGATTCAGGCCATGGTCTTTTTCAGTCACTTGCTCTGCATTTGAGAGCTGGACAATGAATAAGGATGACAGGAGAATTGTTGCCTTTGAACTGTGATTTTGGAGAAGAGTACTGAATATCCCATGGACTGCCCAAAGTGCAAATAGATGTATCTTGAAGAGGGTGCAGCTAGAGTGCTCCTTGGAGGCAAAGATGATAAAGCTTCGTCTCACATACTTTGGGCATGTTGCTGGGAGAGGCTATTCCTTGGAGAGGGACATCATGCTTAGAAATATGGAGGAATGGCGAAGGAGAAGACCCTCAAGACACAGTGACTGCAACAATGGGCTTCAGTGTATCAGAAGTTATGAGGATGACACAGGATAGGACAGGGCTCAGATTGTTTTCATAGGGTTGTTATACAAAGTATGAACTCAACCCAGTGGCACCAAACAACATGGCTGATGAGAGATAAGCTTCACCATCCTTGCCTGCAAGGAGCACTCTGACTGCATTTTCACCGAGACATATCTGTTTGTTCCTTTGGCAGTCCGTGGGGTACTCAGTACTCTTGTCCAACTTGGAGATGTTGTTAGGAGGGGCTATTCCTTGAAAAGGGATATCATAGAGTCACTTTGAGTTGTACTCAGCATCACCTAACCACACCACCACATGGCTGATGCAGGAATCAACTGCTAGTCAGCTGGTTCTGATTAAGGTGAGCCCAAGGCTCTTCATGGAAGCAGACCACTAGACCTTTTCCATTTGCATTGAATGGGAGATTCAAACTGCCATCCTTTTGGTTAGCATCCAAGCATTTACCCACTGAGCCACTAGGGTGCATTGCATGTCCCTGGGATGCCACTTGTCTTGCTTTTTTCATCTTCTCATTGCTTGTGAACCCTGGTAGAGCAGGTAAATGATTCGTCTCATTCACTATGATGCCCCACTGCCTAACATGGTACATGGAATCTGGCAGCTGCTCAACAAACAATTACTGAGCAAATGGAGAAGCGCTTCAGACTCATCACCCTGTGGGGCTTTGATGTTTAGTCTCACAGCTCAGCTGCAGCAACAACACTTGTTGCCCTTTATCCTGTAAGTCCCACTTGTGGGAGCTACCCACAAGTCTCGCTGCTAGTGTCCTTGCCAGGCTTCCTCCTAATTGACCAGCTCTCGTCCACATCCTTTGTTCACTGATTGGGCTCCTACTTCACATTGGCATGCATCTTACAGATCCCAGTGTATTAAAATTAGAGTATTTCTTATTCAGAGTCAAGAGATTCATTCTGCCATATTTTACTGGAATAGCATGGCTTAGTTGTAAGAAGCTGTGATGCAACGCAAAGGTACGTGGTATGAATCCACCAGCTGCTCATCTAGGGAAAGATGGGCATTCTCCTCCATTGTGATTTACTGCTCTTGAAAACCCACTGCAGGGTCAGCCACGAGTTCATTCCAACTCAGTGGCACACAACAACAAATGAGGGCTCTGTACACAATGCTCAATCAGTGCAGGGACTATAGATGGTTTAAATTAAATCTCCAATGCCATCTTCCCCCTGTGCCCTGCCAGCCGTCACAGGTTCTTGAACCATGTGACCATTCTTTCCATCTTGATCCAGACCTAAGTGTGATCAGACCAGAGATCCAGGAGCAAATGTTTGTCATCACCCTGTCTACACTTGTGTTTCCTGTGGGGAGAAAAATCTCTAGGATGGCCTCTTATAACACCAATGGTGGTAACTGAACCACTTTCTTTGTACCTTCCTCCAACTGGGTCCTGCTCTCTGGATCCCATCATGCTTTGCAGTTGAGAACCCTCGAATTCCAGTGCACCAAACCAATGTCACTTGCCTCCACCAGCCCTGAGTTGTCTTTCACTCCAGCATCTGACAGACAGGTTGGAAACAGCTTTGCTGAGGCCAGATTTCCCAGCCTGTTGATGCCTTAGGGTCTCTTTTTTGGCCTGGCCTTGTTATTTATGTGATTGTTTATACACACACACCCCTTTTTTTAAAGCAACATGATTTATTCTCTCTGGCATAAAAATCCCAAGAAAATGCAATTTCAACATTCTCTATCCTGGTACAAAAAGGTGCTGAAACGGCTCAAAGAAGTTGTTAGTTGTTCCTCCTGGGAGCCGAGCTCCATTTGCTCCAGAAATTCAGAAAGAGGTAAAGGAGAAAAGCAGGGAAGGCCCATTGCCTAAGGTGTCAGTGCTTCCGGAACAACATTTTCACTTTTGTTTTCCATCTATACTTCTGTTTTTCATCCCTTGTTACCATTTCCTTCAACAACGTGTTCACGTGCTAGAAAAGACACTCATCTGTTACTTATCCAAACCTCACAAAGGCATATTCTTATCTGACTTCCAGAGCTTCATCCTCTCTAGTTAGGCAGACATAGGAGAGACCTAGAGAGCCATGGTGACAGAATGATAGGGGCTTGGCCATTTACCAACAGCTCAATGATTTGTTGACCAGCAGCTCCCTGGGAGGAAAAGACCTGGAATCCACTGACACGAAGATTAAAATCTAGAAAACTATGAGGTGGTCTGTTCTTTCCCATACAGTCACTCTGAGTCAAAATGAACTCCACAGCACATAACAAGGACAGTGTGGGAGATCCCAGGCCCCTGTTTGTACAAACTGTGCTTAAATTACATACCTTACTCGCCACAAAAGACTCAGGCATCTCCTTCCATAAAGATGCCAGCCAAGCAAACCCTGTGGAGCAGTTCTGCTCTGCCACACTCGTGGCTTCTGGTGGTCAGAATCCACTGTACAGCAGTGGGTCAGGCTTCTCTATTTTTTCACCCTGAGAAATATCGAGTCTCTGGTTGGTCTCAATGATTAACTCACTGAGCTGCTAACTGTAAGGTTTAGCAGTTCAAGTCCACACGTTGGAAGGAAGGACTGACAATTGACTTCATCTCATAAAAGTTGACTGTCAAAACTGACAAAAATTGACAATTGTAATAAACTGACAATTGACTGTCAGCTCGTAAAAAAAACCCTCCGTGCATCACGAAGTTTGACTCGTTTGATCCACAACTGATCGTGGGGATGATATAGTACCGGGTAGATGGCTCCACTGTGCATGGAGTCACTAGAAGTCATGGGCAAGATCAATGGAAGCTAATGACAACAACATGGGAAATCTGTCCCCACGTGTTCAACCCAATCAGAGAAATAATAACTTCTATGCCATCTCGTCCCTGAGTTCTCTCAGCTGTCATCAATCACCAGGACCTTGAACCACATGCATACTCAACCCTCTTCCACCCAGACTTAATAATCCAGCTTGACCTCTTTATCAGTCAATATGTGGTTCTTGAGGACGCACCCTGACATTTAGCACAAGCCAAACGAAAGTAGACTGTTTCCCTGGTCTCTAATGTGCACTCAGAGGCACTGGCATATCCATTTTGTAAAGAGCTGCTTTTTTTTTTCTCTCACCCCCTTCTGATGTTTTTTGCTGTTTAAGGAACTGCTGTGGAACTGCCTTCATAATTCTGCGAGGAAATGCCTCTTGTTAATGCACAGGGCAGAGCCTGGCCTGCTTTTCAGAAAGCACTTAAGAAGTGTTTTAACCTTCCTGAGTTCCAGGATTCTGATCTAGTAAAAATGCATGAGCCTGTATTTATCATATCCCCAAAGGAAAAGTTCTTGGATCTTTGAGTGTTTCAGTTGACAATCCATTTCTACATTCCTAATAAGGAAATTAAGGAGTGAGATAAAGAAGGCAATTAACAACAGGAAACAAAAACCCAAGTGACAAGTGCACATGAGTATTTGACCAGAAATACAGAAGACTTCAATGCGAATCTGCCGTGACCAAACCACTGGTCTCCGCTGAAGGGGGAAAAGTCTTTGTAAGAGCGGGGCTCCTCAGCACTGAGCAGTTCCTCACAGTGCGCATGAGCAGCAGAGCCCGCTTCCAGAGAAGCTGGGAACTGGAAGACCCGTGTCTCCAGGCTTTCCACCTCCAACTTCACAGCTGGCTTCTCTCTTACCAGCGACACATAACTCACCCTTACTGCCCTTCAGTCTCTTCTGAAATTTACTCTGTATGAGGCAATTAAATTTTAGTAGTAAAATCCGGGCTTGTTAGAAAAAGAAGCCAGCAGTTCCTTCTGTTGATTCTGAAGCGATTATTGCCTAGCACTTCCAGTTTCGATGGCAATGATAGGCCTTCTGACGCAATGCTACGAAAGATGGATACATCTGCAGGAGATCGAGTTTTAAGGAAACTGCAGTTGTGCTTAGGACTGTGACCCTTTAAGGATTAGGTCATCAGCAGTCCTTTCTCCAGGAGGTATCAGCAGATCAAGCCTGACAAAAGCACTGGCATAGCTACTGGGGAAGAGATTTAGGGAATTTACCGAGACCCAGACCAGTAAGTACCAGTCACTATAGTCAGTTCCAAGGCTTGACCCCTCCATATGCTCAGAGTAGATCAACACCCCAAAGACTTTCCAA